CAGAATCAGGCCATGGATTATTGAATAATTATTTTAAATCTGGATATTGAATAATTATTTTAAATTATAGGAATGCATATTCTATTGGATGCATTCATTGGATGCATTCCATTGAAGCTATATAATAATAAGAATAGTTTGGCAGCAAAATCATACTGTGAGAGGTTGTGAACTCTTTTTCACTTGATGCATTAACCCATAAACTGAACAATAGCCATTTCTTGGGGATAATTTAGTTTGAATCCCTGTACTGAGCACAGATTCCCTTCCAAATCTATGATTCTTGGCATGTAAATTTCTCAGTGATAAATACCAATGGACATCTACATAAACTGCAATCTCAGCCCAAAAAAGCACGTTACAAAGCCCTTCAAAATAGATAATAAAAAATATTAATTTGATTGGGCAATTATTGCATTCGAGACAATAGATGACTGAACTACATTGCAATTAAGAGAACACTTCTGAATTTCATTTCATTTATTTATTTGATGTATACCCCAACTTTCTATTCTAGCAGTTTACAACTTCTTTCAAGATGACTAATAAATTTTCATAATAAAATATAAATGTTTTAAACATTCAATTAAAGATGATGTTAAAATAATGTAACACTTAAAAGAATGCAAAAATGTAGTTTTTGAGATGCCCTATAAAAGGACTAAAACTAAATACAAATGCAAGTGGTACTTAAGTCTTGAAGATATTGTTGAATATCGTCTTATTTTATAATACCAATTCTGAAACTTAAATTACAGTATAAGACTGTAATGGCTATTGCTTGGTATTAGTGACTTGTTCAGAGATTGTACTTTATAATTCATCTAGAATTCTCATCTGACTGGATCCTTACACTTATAATGTGATGTATTAGACAACACGATATCCATGTTTTGTCTCAGTGACCTTATCCTGCTGGGTTGTGACATTTTCTTCAGACAAGTATTACTTGTTTCCAAGGTATCTGTGGTCAGCATATGGGGAGGCAGACAGATAGGCTGCTTATTATCAAGTAAGTAGCAGAGCATTTATTTATTTATATAGGTGCCTACTTTGACAGTGAATCCGGGCATCAAACAATAAATTTAGACATCTGAAACCAAAGGTGCAGCATTTATAAAGCATACCTTGCCCAAAGGACCCATAACCTGGAGCTGGACCCTGTTTGTCTTGCCAGACTTACCTGAGCTATTTATTTGTTCAGTGTCTCATGTGTAGCATGGACCGCAGCTACATGTCTGCATGTGAAATGAAGAAATGAAGTCCAGTTTAGAACAAATGGTGTCTGCCTCAATTTATGTTGTTTTATGTTATATTTTTTGTCATTTTGGTGTTGATTTTTTACTTATGTTTTAATTCTATATTAGCCATGCAGAGTAAGGCAGTCAAATAAATAAATAAGGATATAATCATGATGGCATTTCTACAATACTAAATGATTGAAGTTATGGAACTAAATTAAACTAAACTATTTTTGTCTCTATTAAAACAACTGTGGATTACATAATTCACTATTGGCCTAGCATTCAGCATTTTAGCAAGGGAATCAAGCAAATTCAGTTTAATGCATTAGTAACATATCTTGTTTAATTGTCGATAATGATCATTGTAAAAATAGAAACCCTATAAACTCTATAAATCTCCATTTTTAAAAAAGTTTGACCCTTATGTCACAACAAGCTGTTGCATAATTGGTAAGGAAGATCACATGGTCAAAACTTAATTTTTAAAATTTTATGATTGTTTCTTGGTGGTCCAAATCACTTTCATAAAAGTTCCATTTCATAATAATATTACTATTTAAATGTTTGCTCTATTAAAGGTCAGGGCAAGTTCTTATTTAGATTTACAATGGGAACTATATACTATAATACCAGATAGCGGTGAAAACTTAAGCAATGAAGTCAGGCACTTCAGTGTTATATTTCATTCTAATGATGTGAAGATAATCTCTTTAGCTGCATGACCACTATATTAGCTACAGTCCATTAAAAATCTTTATGGAAACAGGGAGTCAGAAATTATATTGTGTTATACTATTTGTCATTAGTAATATTTTGATTGGTCAAAGCCCCTAACCATTTCATTATTATCTTTCTATTTTTGTTTTTATTGGCAGCAAAAGATGACAGTATAGGATAGCAGAGTGTCCTGCTTTTTGACCATAAATTAAATAAAATATCTACGACTAAGTATGTGGCATGAGGACCTTCTATTAGAGGAACTATAGAAACTATTATTTCTAATACAATTTAAGGAATATAAACTTAGATTTTCACTATGATCATTTTTTTCAAATACTATAGGCAATGTAATTCAAGTAGTCCTTGACTTACAATGCAATTGGAACCATCACTTCAGCTAAGTGATGCACTTGTTAAGTGGGCCGTGTCCAATTTTATGAACTTTTTTGCTGTAGTCGTTAAGCAAATTGTTTTCCTCCCATTAACTTTGCTTATTGAAAGTCCACTGGGAAGGTTGCAAATGGCAACCTCGGGATCCTGCAACAGTTGTCATTAGATGACGATTGCCAAGCTTAAGCACATAGTGATTAAGCCATGAATTTCATTTCAGATTTTTCATAACCTGATACAGAATTATCTCAATGTGTCAGTGTTGTTCTGAATCAAATGTCAGATCTGTTATTAATGGTTCTCATAAATTTTCATATAACATTGTTCTATACAAGCAAACAGTGCATCCACAATACAGTATGATGATTCATTTCATATAAACACACATTCAAACTTGCCATGGTTTCCTGTCAAATATTAATTTCCAACTTTCTCCCTAAAGAAAGGTAGAAGTTTTAATACAAAATAGATTTCAAAACCATTCAGACTGTATATTTTCATAAATGAGGGTTTATTATTTTTAACAGATTCAGCTTATCACTGCACTGTGGTCAGTGGTTTTTGTTTTTAAAAAAGGAATTTAATTTTTAAATGTTGATGGAATCCCAACACATGCCATTAATTTAGAAAAGGTGCCAATAATTATAGCAGTATTTTCTACATTATTCAAAGATTTATAATACAAAAGGACTTGCTAGAATTTCATTTTTGTTAAAAGAGCACATCAGTTAAATGTAAATTAGATCTTTGAATTTCAACAGCTGCTTTCAGAAATTTTCAGGTTGCTTTTCCTGGAAGCAACATGAATATACGTTTACAGTGAAAAAACAAAGAATCAGTGAAGTGTATATAAATCAGATAAAAAGGTATTCAAATAAAAGACAATTAAATTAAGAATAATTAGGTTTCAGATTGTTATTGTTCCATTACGCTCTTTAGAGGAAAACTGGCATCAGAATGTCCAAGCTGCTCTGCAATAGTTTCATTTATGAATTTTAAAAGAAGGGGTGGATGGTTTTGCAAAGCTTTCATCCTAGATGCTGCTAATTGGAGAAGTACTTATCAGGCTATTGAAAGTGCTGTCTAGTGAACACTGGCTAGGATCCAAAGAGCAATGAAATTCTGAGAATGGACCTACATGCTGCCATACAAGCCTCACCTAAAATTCAATGGAAATTTGGGAGTGGTCTCTGATGGTGGCCTCTAGTGTAGCATAACAAGGGGGGATTGGGAGGGGGAGAACAGAAGAGAATAGTGGACAGACCTGCATGTGCCTAAGTAACTTTCTGTATTTTGATCCTTTCTTTAGTTTCAGCTAAGAAGCTTAATTTTACAGGATGTTTCTTCAGCAGTCGTATATAATGTGTTCCAATATACTATTTCCATCTTTTATTAAATAAATTCTGGAATTCTATTGCACACAGAGAAAATGAAACTGGATTTATTTCTCTTGTTTTGCAGCAGAAAAGAAGAAAGAGAGCACAGAGACTTTACTCCATTTCCTTTCTTCCCATATACGTAGTATTAAAACATTATTTAGCCTCACATGTAATTTTCACATCCAAAGCTTAATCTAGAGTTGCATAGAATAAATGCATTAAAATCAACAGCACATAAATTACTTATAACTGAATTAACTTCCAGTAATGCAGTAGTTTAATTCATATGACTGGAACTGGACTATAATCTTTCTATCATTATGGGAACATGTTTATATCATCAGTACATTTTCTAATAATGCAAGAATATTTGTATGCTGTTGAAAGGAGGAGAGGAGAGTTTCTGATTATTGTAGTTCCTAATTCTGATCTAACCCTTCCTGCCTTTTCTCTCTTTTTTATTTTTTATTTAGGGAGAATTGTCTTTCTGTATTCCGTTGCTGACATTTGTATTGTCACAGTATGTGAAACTGATGCTAAACATGTAACTATACTAATCTGTGTGGCATACATAAATAATGAAAGAAAGATGTTTGGGCATTTTCTTTCTTTCTTTCTTATTTGAAATAATAAAAAGCTGTACACTGTAGGCTCCCATACAAAATGATGCTTTTATGCACAGAGACTGGAGTCTGCTTATTACCTACAGTATGCTTGCTAGCCCTGATGAACAGACCACCATAGTTGTGACAAGTGATGTAGCTGCCTCCAGGGTAAAACAAAGCTTTAGATATTACACAAGCAATTTAACTGTTTTCTAAACAGATTGCCAAGACAGTGGGAGTTGGCACTGTATTTTAAAGCTTGGATACTTGAAGTGACTGCTGATTATAGATCTTTTGATTTGCCTTCTGCATACAACAGGCAACCAAGTAATCCAGTAAAGAATGCTCACAAGCACTTAAACTTGTCTTCATGTCTTCCCATAGATTACACTCAAAACTCACTCCATAAAAGTGGAGGTAAAGAGGCCTGTGTACTGATAACAAAACAGTTGCCTTATTCCAACTCTCAAGAAACAACCCTGCCCTCATTACCCAATCCAGAAGAAGTGTTTTATAATCCTTTTCCCCATAAACAGAAAAGGAAGAAAGAAGCCTGGCAAAGACTCTGCACAAGAAAGAAAGAAACTGGGGGGAGGGGATCTTAAACACAATAAAGAACATAATTAACTTCACAATTCTTTGTGTTTTTCATTTGACTACAGGGTGGAGATGAAAGAGGGCTCCTAAGTCTTGCATTCCATCCCGATTACAAAAAAAATGGGAAGCTCTATGTGTCCTATACCACCAACCAAGAACGATGGGCTATTGGGCCTCATGACCATATTCTTCGGATAGTAGAATACACTGTGTCCAGGTATGAATTCTATATACAATCTCTACAGTATTTCCTAGTGTGTAGTATGCTTTAAAGTATTTGTCTGGTCTCTTAAATCCTAAAACCTTCGTATCTTTTACTTTCAAAGATCAATCTCTGATTGATGAAAGGTACATATAGATATTATACAGTGCTACGCTATGCTATGCTATGCTATATATAATACATATTATGTATTATAATACAATCCAAACTAAATTTCAGGCAAGTAATGTTGAGACTAGAAGCAATTACATTTACTTTTCTCCCTTCTATATGTATTCAATTATTCTTATGTATATATTCTGATTACTAAATAGTTCAGTGTATAATATAGAATTCTGATAGCCCACGGTATCTGGAATTAAATGATTTGTTATATATTGAGGAATAAACAACAAACTAATTGGGAGGCATAGATGCACAGGATAAATAATAGAATACTTTCTTTTTCAGGCTAATCATAACATGTAGGAAAAGTAATCTCAGCCCTTATGATGATTTTGGAAGTCCTATTCAGAATTCCCTGCTCATTCTCACATTCTCAGAATGTTTTCCTTACACTAAGATTACAACTATATGGATTGGCTCCTAATACTCCTCGTTATCTGTTATAATACTATATGGTCTTTCACAAATGTCAGGACTCCAAAATCAAAAAGGATACCCAATTACTTCAAAGCAGTTTCCTGTATTGATCCTCATCTATATACAGAAATATTGCCAAACTAAAGGAACTACTTACAGCATTAAAGATATACTCTGAGAAGTTGTAGCAGGAGCTATCTTGACCCATTTTCTCCCAACCAAACTATCTACACTTTGCTATCTCTTGGTTCTCTGGAATGCAGCCCCTTCCTTCAGGGAATCGAGACTACATTCCAACAAAATAAGTTCCCTCTGGAAAGTGTTTTGGTTGCCTATCCTTCTAAACAACCATTAGTGACAATCTAAAATTAATTCTTCTCTGTATACAACTCTATGTGTGTTTTAGATTCTGACTTGCCTCCAAAGAACTTTAGGTAGTACTTAACTGTATATCCTGTCTCATACCCCAACACTATTTTTCATAACAACTCTATAATATGTCATCTGAGAGGGCAAGCTAATACAGTACCACAATATGGACTTCATGGGGCTGCCTGAAAATATGAACTTGAATTCCTCCCACGTTAGTCAGAATCTAGTCCTTCATCTACTACACTTCCTAAAAATTCAGAATCATTCAGATTAGAAGCTCTTGTAAAAATGCAGGCAAAGCAACAAAAACCATATATCCATTTGTATTATGGCAAGCAACTTTTTATATTGCTCTTCTGTCATTCTAAAAATATTTTAGAGGATGAAGGAAAAAATGGTATACCTACTTTGAAGTTAAATATGTTATTGGGATTCATTTTTTCCCTCCCTTATTGCAGGAAGAATCCACACCAGGTTGATATGAGGACTACAAGACCTTTCCTAGAAGTTGCAGAACTACATCGAAAACATCTTGGAGGACAGCTGTTCTTCGGTGCTGATGGGTTTTTATACATAATCCTTGGTGATGGAATGATTACAATAGATGATATGGAGGAGATGGATGGTCTGAGGTATAAACATTTCTAGTAGATAAAACCTTTTTATCATTTGATTTTTAAAATTTCCACCCTAATTCTGCTCTTGAAATATAAGTAATTACCATTCTATACTTAAGTAATTTCTTATCACTTTTCTGAATGAATAAGAAATTAAAATTTGTCCCCATGACAAATAGTTGGAAATAATTCATAATAAATAATTTGGTTGATAAAGATGTGTGATTTATTATCTGTTACTCATTGTCAGAAGAGAATCTGATTTAAAATAAATAAAAATGTGACCAGTAAAAATTAAAGATCAGTCACATTGATTTTCTTAATTTTTCAGAAACAAACTTTGCTTTAAATCGGTTTTCCAAACTGTGAGGTGTATCTCCTTGGAGAGAGGCAAACAGAGTCCAGGGGAGACATAAAGAACCTGGATACATACACCTTTCCCAAAGTTTCATTGTATTGTGTTCATTGTTCATTTGTGTTGATTTTGGGGTTAAGATTTTTAGAGTAGGTATGCATATTAAGACTACACTAAGGGGAGGTCTGATGACAAAAAGTTTATGAATCCCTTAAATTCTATCTGTCACTTTCAAAGAGGATTAAAGCAAAGATATAGAAAGAGATTAATATCTGTGGATATCCTTTTACATATATATGTATATACATAATATCCATACAGATAGTATTTTAAATATGTTTGACATCAAACAAATTTGACATGAAGCCCAGAAGGATACAGTGGATCGAGCTATATATTATTTAAATGACTAGAAAAACTGAAATGTAATCAAAAAGTTAAAAAAATGGTACTTTGATTCTATTTTTTTTTAATATTACGTTCTTAAAAACATAACTGGCTTTTGTTATTCTGAGAAAATGCAAGACCCACCAATTTTAGGCTGCATGTAATATCTCAGTGTACATAGAAAATGGCACAATGCTGTTTGCATCACTTTGACTTCCCTTGCCCCACCCCTACAGATGTCATGTCTCATCTAAAAGATTCCCTAACAAATGATTACTGATCAGAACAGAAAATAGAAGCCAAAATGCTATTGCTTTTAAAAATTAATGATCTTATCTCCAACTTTCTCAGTGATTTTACAGGTTCTGTACTGCGCTTGGATGTAGACACCGATTTCTGCCATGTGCCTTATTCCATACCACAGTCTAACCCACATTTTAACAGTACTAATCAGCCTCCTGAAATTTTTGCCCATGGACTCCATAATCCAGGCAGGTTCGTAAAACTCTTTTTCTTTTGAAGAATGGAAAAGGATACTAACACAGTTTGTAAAACTTAAAGCAATATGGAAAATAATATGGGAAAAAAAGAAGCTAAATAAATATAAAGTAGCTCTTTCTTCATGAAAAATGTTTTGTTATAATTTGGAATCTTGTTTTACTACCGAGAAAAAGGCCTTATAAATGTGTAGAATTAGAATGATCAGTTTGTGGTGTCCTTGTTGCTTTCTGAGCTTGGTTGGTTTCTTGCAGGTGTTTCACTACCAAACTACGTAACATCAGCAGCGCTCATAGGCAGTGGAATTTGCTCTCATTTTATATTTTAGTGGTTTACCCTGTTTGTGTTGGTGGAAGTAGTCTTGGTGATTCCTTGATTGGGTTGTTGTTTACTATAGTTGTTTGGCAGTTCCTTGATTGGGGTATTGTTTGCTTCTAATGTTAACCTTGGTATTAATTCTCTGCTCATGTGGGTGTTGATTGCTGGTAAAGAGATGTTTTGGTGTTTTGTTTTCTTTTTGGTTTTTTGATTGTCTGTTTTGAATAGTATATAGATGTTGTTTATGTCTGTGTGCCTGTTAATGTCTGATTTGACTGAGTACCTGGCTTCCAGGAATTCTCTACCATTTTTGGATTTGGCCTGGTCTAGCATGCTCACAATTTCCCAGTTGAAACTATGATTACGTTTGTCCATATGTTGTGAAATTAAGGAGTTTTCTTCATGTCTTTTGACTTTTAATTGGTGCTCATGGATGCACTCTGCTAGACTTCTGCCTGTGTGTCCTACATAGTGGTTGTTGCAGTCCTTACACTGTATGTTGTAGATGGCTCCTGTTTTTTTCCTTTTGGGGCTGCTGGATCTTTTGGTTTATTTAGGGTGTTTTGGAGATTTTTAGTTGGTTTGTGTGCTACAATGATGCCATGTGGTTGTAATAGTCTGTTGGTGGTTTCTGAGATGTGTTTGATCTATGGCAATGTTATCCTTTTCACAGCTTGTGTTGGTTGTGCTACATTGGGTTGTATGGTCATGCAATTTTTGATTAAGTTGCATGGCTATCCATCTTATTGGAAGAATTGTATAGATAATCTGTTTCCTTTGTCTGATGTTCAGGATTACTACAGTGAGTTTTGTGCTTGTATAAATAATGTTCTTATATAGCTTCTCTTGTAGGAGGCTTTGCTGTTGCTTTGTTAATGGAGCATCAGAGCAACAACCCAAGGTGTGAGGTGTGAGTAGTTTTACGATAGATTTGTGTTTCTAATTCTATTCTCATGTTGAGAATATCCAGGAAGAGTAGCATGTTGTTGTTTTCTTCTTCCCAGTGAATTTTATTCCTTTGAAGATGTTTTTGATGGTTTAGTATGTATTCTCTAGTTATTATATCAAAGGTGTCATCTATGTACTGGGTCCATACTTCAGGTTGTATGTATGTATGGAAGTGCTATCAATTCCAGGTGTTCCATTACAGTCTCTGCTATGAGTCCTGAAAGTGGTGAGCCCGTGGGCGTTTCTTTGATTTATTGATATATTTGTTCATCAAACTGAAAGTATGTGGTTATAGAAAGGTTGGTAAGATCAAAGATTATGAGCATTTCAATCTTGGTGTATTTGATTAGATTGGGTGAGCTATCATGGATTCTTTGGCTATTTCTGAGTCTAAGAATACAACAAGTGCTGTGACTTCAAATGAGACCATGATTTTATCTTCATCTGTTATCACGTCTTTGATTCTTTGGAGGCACTATAGTGGTGAGTTGATGGAGTATTTGCTTTCTCCTGTGAAGTGTCCAAGCTTTTTTGTCAGTTCTTTAGAAATGTTGTAGGTTGGGGTCACTGGTAATGATACAATTGGACTGAGAGGTATGTTTGACTTGTGTGTTTTGGAGCATTCATAGAACCATGGGAGACTGGGTCTACTACATTTCATCCACCATTGGTCTTCTTTGGTGATTTGACCTTTCTTGGTGAAGTCACTGAAACTTCTCTTGATCTAGTTGTCTAATTTTTGTACAGGATTGGTGCTCACTGGGATGTAAGTTTTTTTCTGTTCTAGTAATTCTTTTGCTTTTTGTATTCCTGGAAGCCAGGCATTCAAAAATATTACTGATATGTGTTTTCACTGGCAAGGAGAATCTCAGTAATGTGAGAACAGAAAACAGTTTGCTCTCATTTAAACTGAATTGCCATGAATTTATATTATCTAATCTGAATTATCCTATTTCTCAGTTTGCATATCTTTATTATTTAATGCTCCATTTAAGAATGTACACTTTAACATCAGTGATTAGAAATAGATTGGTGATCTAGAAATAGAAGTCATATATAGCAAACAAATGAATTAGTTCATGTCATCACAAAACAATGTCCTTGAACAGGTGTGCAGTGGATCGCCATCCAACAGATGTAAATATTAATTTAACAATACTTTGTTCAGACTCGAATGAGAAGAACAGATCATCAGCAAGGATCATTCAGATAATAAAAGGAAAAGATTATGGTAAGTTCTGGATCATGGAGCATTCAGTGTTCATATTCCCATCAAAGAATGGATAGAAAATTGAATATAGAGCCATAGTATGCCCAACAAGGTACTGCTCATGTGTTAGGAATACCGTGGGCATCTTTTTTTCCTTATGATGGATATTTGTCTACACTATAATTGTGTTAGGCATTAACTTATATAAATAAAAACTAATAGAAACTAAAAAAATAAGAACAAAAAGAAAAAGTGTAGTTTGTAAAATTTATTTATAAAATAATAAAGACAGGATATAAATAATTGCCATATAAAATGCTAAATAAAAAAATAAATAAAGTGAAGGAATTAAAAATGTAAGTGCAACAAAGAAAAGAAAAAAGAGGGGGGAAAAGTAATTTGCTCCTTGGTCACACCAAATCTATTTTTTTCTAATAACTGATCAACTTCTATTAAAAAACAACAACAAAATATCTCTTCATCACATATCTCATCTCTTTATTTATAAACAGGTCTTAAAATCTTGTTATTCTGATCAGCAAAAGTCCATTAAGGGATATCAGAAACAACAACATATCTATTTTAAATGAAATCCCAGAATCCACTGTTTAATTATTTCTCTTCCTTCGAATATATTATTCTTTTTCTATAAGAAAACCCCAAACCTCATTATTCAATCATAGTCAATCAATATTCATGAGCAGCTGAATTGTAAACCTTTGTGAATAATTCAAGGTTATATAATAATTTCATATAATTTTTTAAAAAGGCAAAAAACCCCCAAACTTTTCCAGGTCAATATGGGTTATGTTTTCAGGACAATTATGAAAATCAGCGATAGCTGTAGCCTTTCCTAAGTGAAAGGACCATATTAGATAAATGATAATTTGTCATTAATCTTTCAATATCAAAATTTAGTACCCACTATTGTTTCTTTTTTCCCCAGTTAAAACTATAAGTACCATTCTTGACTATTTATTTACTTCTGAAAGCAAAAGTGTATTCCAGTTTTTCATATTTTATTTTTCTACTTTTCTTTGTTGCACTTACATTTTTTCTTCCTTCACTTTATTTTTTTATTTAGCATTTAAAAAAGATATGAATGGAATTTAGAACAATTGTGTGCAATAAGCATGTTCTAACATAGGCAAAATTAATAGATGATTGATTCCCTTTGATACTAAAAAAGCTAAACTTTTTTCCCTATGGTACTTATGTTCAGTATAAACCTAATTCTGAAATAATGTCAGATAAAGATAAAATTCTATTTTATTTTAAATGTTGTATTTCCCAATTCTTAGCACTTGCTTTTACCAACTTTAATTTAATCTAACACTATGGTAGTTTTTTTCCAGAAAGCGAACCTTCACTTTTAGAATTTAAGCCATTCAGTTCCGGACCACTGATTGGTGGATTTATATACAGAGGCTGCCAATCTGAAAGACTTCATGGAAGTTACCTATTTGCAGACCGCAATGGGTAAATTACTTACAATTCTCATAGAAAAAGCAATGTGTTATTTCTAACTTAAAAATGAAAGTGCATTATATGCTGATGATGGTTTGCTAGTAGTATGTATTGCCAGGTTGATTTCAGAAATCCAATATTACAATATTATAACACTTCCAGCCCTTAATGTACAGATGAACTAAGATGAGGCCACTGAGGGACTTTTACTCCATTGCTTTTAGAATTGCATTTGCTCCCCATGTTCAGCCTTTATTTGAAACCATGAGGTAAACTCAATTTGATCTAAAATCAAAATTCCATCCATATTAGTATATGGATGGAATACAGCTTTACCTTACTTTTTGGTCTATCAGTCACAGGGAGGTAGTAGAAAAACTGAACATGTGTCTGAAAGCAGTTGAAGATTAATAAAATAAATAGCTATAATTAATTTAAATAAATTGGAGGAAATCGTGGACTGGGAAATCTTCATCTTTGATCTTGAAGATCAGTTTTGGAGCTTATAGTTAATTCTGGTCTGAGTTCTTCCAATGCAGAGAGCAGAATTATTGTGTAGGATTACTTTTTACCATTAAAAACAACTGCCAGTTATCTAGGAAAAACTACAACATTGCTTTGCATTTAGACAAAGCCATTATAATGAGCTCTACATGAAATTGCATTTGAAGGTGTTCCTGAAAGTTCAGCTTCTATACAATGCAGGTGTTCCCATACTGGTAAAGGCTAAGTATTTGGAGAATATAACAATGTATTGTATTAATGTATTGTGACAGGACTCAAACAGAACTCAACTCTTGACACCTAGATTGTATGGTCTAGGCAAGAATATCATGAAAACACCATCAACCAATAAATTATAGGCTTAGTTATGTTAGTTTTAGTCCCAATGCTCCTTAAGATATTTACATTGACTTCAATCAGCAGTATTACTGAAAAAAGATTAGCTTCTTGCTGGTGCTGTCACAATACATCAAACTAGACTGAAAAAATAAAGCTATTCTAGAAATTTCCTCTCAAAACTTATTTTATTTTTTCCGTCTGTGGCCACATGAGGAAATGAAACATGGGGGACAAAAGGAGAAAAGTAGGTGAGCAACTCATCCTCATTCAGGCTACCAGAAATGTTTTAATTGTCACACACATTCCCATTGTCACACACATCTTACAGAGAAGATATATCTCCCCATTTCACTACAACATTAACATTTATATTCTACTAGGGCATATATACAAGCACGGAGCGTGCAATACAAACTGGCACAATTGAATATAGGTCTAGAGTATGACATACCGTTAATGCAAACAAGTAGTGAGTTCTTAGAAATACTTTTATGTATTGTGCAAACATATCAATAGTGTTCTAAAATCTAAATGACATTAAAGGTCCAATGTTAAAATTATAATGGTTGTACGAGGGCACCTCTATTTGATTATCAATGACAGGCACTCGCAGATACAGAACTTTCATTATCACATTAGAAAACTACAACATTACATTACTTTTTGACATAATCGCCATTCCAATTGAGGCACGTCATAACGTCTTACAAGGTTCGAAATTCCTTAGTAGAAGTTGCTCGGCACCAAATCTGGGTTATGGGGGGGTGATCAAAAACATCCCAACAGAACTGATAATAATAATAATAATAATGATAAAGTTGGAAGGGACCTTGGAGGTCATCTAGTCCAACCCCCTGCTCAGGCAGGAAACCCTATACCATTTCGGACAAATGGCTGTCCAGTTTCTTCTTAAAAACTTCCAGTGTTGGAGCATTCACCGCTTCTGGAGGCAGATTGTTCCACTGCTTAATTGTTCTAACCATCAAAAGTTGCTTCAAAAGTTCTTGGGTGCATCAAGTGATGTGCGGGTGAGCATTATTGTGAACCAACACTACACCAGAAGTGGTGCCATAGAAAATCCCGCCAAATGTGAAGATGCCAAAGGAGTACTGCTGGTGAAATTCATGGAGTGTGGCTCAACCATCAATTCAGAAGTCTACCGTGAAATGTTACGAAAACTCAGACGAGCCACCCATAACAAGCGTTGGGACATGCTGACTTCCGGTGTGGTGTTGTTCACAATAATGCTCACCCGCACACCGCTAGACGCACCCAAGAATTTTTGAAGCAGTTCCGTTAGGATGTTTTTGATCATCCCCCCCCCCATAGCCCAGATTTGGCACCGAGCAACTACTACTAATGAATTTCAACCCTTGTAAGACGTTATGACGTGCCTCAATTGGAATGGCGATTATGTCAAAAAGTAATGTAATGTTGTAGTTTTCTAATGTGTATAATAAAAGTTCTGTATCTGGGAGTATCTGTCATTGATAACCAAACAGAGATTTCCGAATTGCCCTTGTATTTGCATTACTTCAACACACACAGTCATCCTGTTCATGCTTAAAGGTACTGATTCCCTTGAATCAAGCTCTTCTTCAGGTGATTACATGACACACCGCAATTTTCTCAGCAATGTTTCTTTTCCATTAATTCTTTGTTTTTCTATCTTACAGCCCTGAGATTGCCTTATTGTGTCTGAACCAAATACTAACCATATCTATCCTTCCTAACTTGTCTCAGGATTAGTTGAGAATCTCTGAATGTGCTATTGAATCTCCTATGGAATATTTATGCTTATGTTAGTCCTGTCAATTCTATTAACATTATGGGACTTGCTTTAAAAGAAACATATATGCAGTTGTGCTGTTCTGTTACCATGCATTAAGAACAAATCTTTGAGAAGCTCTGGTTATATGACATCAATCTATTATAAGCTTGTTGGTTGTAACTGGAGGTAGACATTTCAAAATCACTTTTAAGTATCTACCAAAATGAAAATTGAATCATAAGCTTTACAGCTCAGACTTTAAATGTAACCTTCTCAAATTTGGTGCCTTCCAGATGTGTAGGGATTACAACTACAAAAACCAACCTGAGAGCTTTAATGCCAAAGAATCTGGAGAAATCAGGACTCCAATTCAGATATTATTTAATATTTAATTTCTACTTTGACCTCAATAAAGTTAATTGAAGCAGTGTGTAACCCTTCTCTTTTTATTATCTGTTTTTAGAAATTTTTTAACACTACAACAGAGTCCTATTACAAGAAAGTGGCAAGAAAAACCATTATGTCTGGGCAGCAGTGTTTCATGTCAGGGTTTCTTTGCTGGACACATTTTAGGATTTGGTGAAGATGAATCAGGTAAGACAAAAAGCAACTTCTTATTGTTTTACGATATATTAATTGGCATTTAGCCAAGAACTATCATATGATTGATTTTTTAATACATTTTTATAAAATAAACTGAAACATAATTCCAGGAAGAGCCATTTAGTTCATTGTGTAAGGTACATATTAATAACCAGCCTCCATTTGGACAAATCCAGTGAAGAAGAGCCAAATCATTCGTAATATTAAAACAATATACTAAAATAGTAGGAGGCTGATATAGCCAATTATAAAAACTCAAATACTTTTGCAAATAATAAGGTCATCAGACAATAGAAAACTTAACAGCAAACCTCTGTATAGATTTGCCCATAAACAGGGCTATATTTGAAGAATACCCTTTCTCTTCTAATTGCCCTACTTCAGAGAGTAGGATAATTCTATTTTTAATTCAAAATTGTTTTCCTCAGAGCCTCTAAAATGTGAGGACTGAATTCCCTTTGGTTATCCAGTATGTAGAATGCTTTCTAGGTATGTTAGAGATTACAAACATATCACCAACAAGTTATGGGAGTTAAAGCCAAAATATCTGGAGAACATCAAGTTGGAAAAAAACTACTATAGATAAATACTTTAAACTGTGCTCAGAAATTATAAAGGCAATAGAGATATAGAAGTGTGAAGGAAGCATATTTGTAACAGTTCCAAAAGACATAGGTTGTATTATCTATGAGCAATATTTCAAGGGAGAATTATTGGCAGTAATTTGGAATAGTCTGAATGAGAAGCAGTTAAAGACAGTGAGCTTGTCTGCTGCAAAGCTGACAGGCCAGGTTCGAGACCCAAGCGTCACACATAGGGGAGAGCTCCCTTTACTTGGCCCAATGCTTGCCCACCTACCAGTTCAAAAGCATGCAGATGTGGGTGGATAAATAGGTACCATTGGTGGGAAGGTAACAGCTTTTTGTGTACCTCAGCATACAGTCATGCTGGCCACATGACCATGGAAATGTCTTCAGACAACATTGGCTCCCTCAGCTAAGAAACAGAGATGAGCACTGCGCCCTAAAGTCAGACATGACTGAAAGGGGAAACATTTACTTTTACCTTTAGATGAGAAGCATATAAAACAATAGAATTGGAAAGAACTATTCCATTAATTACAACTCCCTGCTCAGTGCAGGAATCAAGATTAAACCATTTTTCTCAGATCTACTCAGTATAGGATCCACTAAAAATTTGTTCTACCATCAGACTGAAAACTAGGATTCTAACTAAAATGTTTTGAGAACTAACATATAGTATAAAGTAGCCCATTGTGCCAAGCCAAAATATGTAATCACAGCAATTACATTTTATTAATCTGGTTTTGTAAATGGCGTGAATACAAAAAAATATTATGACAGTCTTCTCTCACTATTCTCAATATGATGCAAATTGAATACCTATTTAAATATTTTAAAGAAACTGATTATGGTATCTCTAAAAGGCAGCAATATACTAATAGTATAGTATGTTACAACATATCTGCTGAACATTTGGTTTTTTCTATTTCTAAAAAACTCCTATGAATAAATTTGGCTCTCCAACCTCTAAATTCCCTGTTTACATTATTAAATAATCTGTGGAAAAATGGTAAAGAAATATGAAGGATACTTGATAATTCAGGTTACCAAATATTTTAGGAAAAATGCAATCAAAAGCATGCCTCACTATATTTTAGAAACAAGAACAAATTTGACTAAAGAACTGCAGAATTCCACCATTTTGTCAAAATGACTAAATGAGTTTCATGTCAGCACTTCTCCACATAGTCTTTTGACATCACAATGCATAAAGAAAAAGGCCTCAGTTTGCATCACAACTATACAATGCTCACTTCATCATTTTTGTTATCTTCACCCTTTTTTCCCTACAGATGCCTCTGCCTTAGACTCATTTTCTAGTCTTAACTTCATCAAATTATTTTAGCTTCTATTCGCAGTTTTAAAAATGAGGATATAAATTGATGCAATGGTCAATTTATATAATTTCTTCTATATAATAATATCCATAACATTATACTTTTCATCATAATGCATATGTTGCTTGGTATTTTTAGTGAATGCCAACATTTACTTATTTACTTAATGTGCTTCATTGACAGGTGAGGTTTACATCTTAGCAAGCAGTAAAAGCATGACACAGTCTCTCAATGGAAAACTCTATAAAATCATTGATCCCAAAAGGTAAGAAATGAATATGATGAGACATAAATCTAACAAATAAATAATAAAATGGAGACCCAGTTTGGTCCAGTGGTTAAGGCATCAGGTTAGAAACCAGTAGACTGTGAGTTCTAGTCCTGCACAAGGCATGAAAGCCAACTGGGTGAACTTGGGCTAGTCCAGGGGTAGGCAACCTTGGCTCTTTTATGACTCGTGGACTTCAACTCCCAGAATTCCTGAGCCAGGAATTCCTGAGTTGAAGTCCACAAGTCATAAAAGAGCCAAGGTTGCCTACCCCTAGGCTAGTCACTCTCTTTCAGCCCAACCCATCTCACGGAGTTGTTGTTGTGGGAAAATTAGGAGGAAGGAGCATTAGGTATATTTGGCACCTTGAGATATTTATAAAATGATAAAGGTGGGATAAAAATAAATAAAATCAGTGGAATGCTACACCATACACATATGTATTTCTATGTGTGCATTTTTGTATAGATGCTTCTCCTTATATATTTTTTAAATATGTGTTTAAGTTTTTTTATGAAAATATTCATGAAAGGTTTCTCTTTTTAAGAAAATAGGATAGGATCTAGTATGAATGATTGAAAATAAATTTATAGAAATATACATTGCAAGATCTGCAAGAACTGATAGAGGTGTAGGGAAGGTGATCCTGGAGCATTTGCTTATGGTGAGGGAGAAACAAAAAGCTTTTAAACTATAAATTAAATAACATTGCACGTCACAGAAAAAGTTATAATGATTTGTCATGGACCTGTCATTGAAATGACATGTTATTAATTAAGAAGCAGATGTTACTGTCAATCATGCTCTTCTATTTGTTTTGTTTATTAAAGATTTCTAGTGAAAGTATTTTTATAAAACAAATACTACTCCACTTCACTGAGATTGTTTAGTCTGTTGGTGTGTGGATTTAGGTGAATTTTACACCTTTAATCCACTATTAGTTTCTGATTACAGAGAGGTTGTTTGTTTGACCTTGGATTTGTGCTCTTGTTACCCCACCATTTAGAGTGGCCTGAAATTGGCATATCTTAAAGGCCAGACCTTTCAAAGCAAAATTCTCTGTTCACTATTTAATGTGTGGCACATCTGTGTGGAATAAGATCAGGGGGAACAATGCAGTAACATAAGGACAACAAATACTTTGAAATATATATTAAATGAAAGTGATGAGGAAAAGACGTTGTTTTATAGGGTTACCATTTCTGATATGTTTACATGAGCATGAAATTACACTTAAAACCTTATTAACATTCTCAATGCAACTTTCAAGTGATGAGTCTCAGTTAAAAGTATACCAAAAAAAGAATAATAATATATAGTTAGAGCAGCCACCTTTTTCCACCATGTCTCCCAAGTTCTGTTTTCTCATGAATATGCAAGCATCTGCATCTATGGAAATATATTCCTGGATTTTCTTGACAGTTTGCATGAACTGCATGTTTGCAGCAGAATCTCATGCCAGTTGTTGAGGGTAAAAAGTTGAATGATGGATCTCTTCTTGTTTAATGGCAATGGTAGGATTTCAAGGGCAATGCATGTAAAACCAAACCTTTCTCTATGCAAAACATCAAAATGAGGCATGGAAAGGAATTGTTACACTGAAATATACCAAGTATTGATTTCTCGAACCAAGGAAAAATTAGTACAATAAACATTCTGATTAGTTAATAATTTTTTCTAGGATAGTATTGCATTGTCTTAGGGCATTTGGTATAATAAAGTGTTGGAGGAATATGACGCTTGTGGTATTCATCGATAATATCAGTGATGGTTTAATTACTGGTGGTAATATTTTTCTAGTTGAATGAAAACAGGATTGATTTTTTAAAATGGCTTCCAAAGAAATATTGGATCAGATTTTAAAAAATTCTTATCAGAAATTCCATATATAGTATACTCAGGTAGAAGACTACCTGCGGATAAGCCGAACCCAATTTGGGGGGTATATTTTGGCACCTCAAATTGTTAGCTTCTTTGCAAGTTTACATATGGTAAATTTGAAGAAGCATTTGAGAGTTCCAGGCTTTCCCAGTTAATTTGAGGAATGAATGACACACTGGCAAAAGAATCATTTGTTATCCCAAAGCAGCCTTTCCCAGCTGGAATTTTCCAAACGTGTTGAAGTATAACTCAGAGCCCTCTCTGTGGGCATGCGCGCCATCGCCCCAGTCCTAGGCCTTCAGCTGGGTTTTATAAAACCTTTTCGCTTTAGGCCTCCGCCACCATGTACAAAAAAAAAGGTTCAATCAATGAGTCAATTTCAACTTCTCGCGGGGAAAAAAAAGATCTTGCAAAGTTGGAATTGATTGATTGAACTTTTTAGTCCCACCCAGTCTGCCGTTACCACCGCAGCCATGCCCACCCAATAGGCCACACCCACCCGGCACCCGACAATGCATAAGTGGGTTTGGGGTTGCAGTTTGGGCACTCGGTCTCTAAAAGGTTCCCCATCACTGCTCTATAGATAGCAGGCAAATTAACATTGCTAGGTTACCTAAAATAAAACGATGTTTCTTAAATTAAGAAAGCCCTAGTACAAGGATATATTAACTTTATTTTTATGTGTGGACAGATTTTTGAAATATTTTAAGAAAGCTACATCTAACTAAGATGTAGGGAATCCGTTTTCAATTGCTATAATTTCCAGCATTCCAAAAAACATAAACACCACGCATTCCACACCCTGCCTTTCCTTTTTTTCCTTCTCTCCCTACTTTTATTTAAAGCTTTATTTGCTCATTCATTCCTTTCCTCTTAAGAAGGCACATTTCCTGTTTAAATTTTTTAAATAATATTTGGTTAACTATTAACTATATTTTGTCCATTTCATTTAGTAATATTTCTGCAGGGATAGCACAAACTGGATGTTATAATGCTTTAAAAGTTACTCTTTTTTTGGATGGGATTTATTTTTTATTTTGTCCTAATAAACATAATTACTCAGATTTGTCTAAATTTACCAAGCATTGTCTTTCCAACAAATACCTGGCTTGTCTCATCAATAGAAGTTTGAAGAAAGGCAGAAGAATATCAATTATCCTTGACTTAATCCTGATTATTAATATGAAAGATCTTATTGAGACTAGCTGAAATATTGGGTGAAATAACCATGTAATGCTGAAGGTATTTGTTTTAAATTAAACTAAAACAGAACATGTATCTTGGATTTTTGAAAAAGTGAATCTTAATATATTCATAGCAATGTAAGCAAGATTCTATAGCAGAGAAAGTTAATGGGAGAAATTGCTCAATTCAGCTAAATAATTCCAATGAGAGAAAAAAGCAAGAAGGCAACAGAAGACGCCAATATAGCTGTTTAAATCTTAGTAAAGAACTGAAAACAAGAAAAGAAATATGCATGGAATGGAAAAATTGCCAAGTCCCAAAGGAAAAACATAAACAGTCACTTAAAACTCTAGAGTTGGTGTCAGAAAGCAAAAGCTCAGAATGGGCTGATGTTAATAAACCTTCTTAAGATATGTTCAAAGAAAAAGACAAAATATTATACCAGCTGTTCAGTGAAGAAGACAAAGCAGTAAAGAGAACAAAGGAAAGAGAACAATTCAACTTCTGTGTTAAATCAGTCTTCTCATAAAAAAGCATGCATTGCTCCAGGAAACTGATGGGAAGGATGAAGGAGCAGAACTGAAGATGAAGATTGATAGAAATACGGTTTTGGAATAGAAAGTAAAGTTTAAATCTCTAGAACCAAAGGAATTTCTTTCTAGTAAACAGAAGTAGCTAATGTGCTGGCAGAACTTTTAAATATTATGGCTAAGAAATGCTGGAGAACTAATTAAATGTTAAATGATTAAACAACAAAAAATGTCCCTATCTTCATAACTATAGACCAATCACTCTTAAAGTGATTAGAATTCCTAGAGCAAACCATAAAGAGACTTGGAACAGAGGTTGACTGCAAACTGAAGTCAACAGTGTGATACAGGTGGGAAAAATCAAACACAATTTTAAACTACAGTAAGGGAATATGATTTTCAAATCATTAGATGTAATTGTTCCACTTTATTTTGCATTTCAACAATTGTGCTCAGATCTGGGCACTATTTTATGAAGGATACATACAAACTGGCACTGATTGTTCAGAATGAGCTAGGTTCTATTAACAGAAATGGAGGTAAAACAGAATGATTAGTTTTGAGCAGTCTAAACAGAAGATGGGGAGATTATGAAAACATTTTTCAAATGCTTGAAAAGATGTCACAAAGGTCCAGAGTTGTCCACCATCATTTAAAAGTGCAAGACACAAAATTCATTTAAGTTATAGTTATACAGATTCTGATTTAATGCTAGAAAAAAATCCTAGCAATAAAATTAATATGATAATGGAAACAATGACCCAAAGAAGCGGTTTCCTGAATATATTCAAGTAAAGACCAGACAGCCATCTCTCAGAGACACTTTAAATTTGATTCTTGCAGATATCAGATGATTTGACTTGACCTATAGCCCATTTGAAATTTATGAATATATGATTTACTAATAAATAAAATACTAAGATATATTAAAATATATTTTATTTTACTTATTAATAATATATTCATAAATTAATGCAAAAGCTATCCACAAAGAGCAATTAAAAAAAGAAATCCATCCAGGTGGATTATGTGATCCCACTCAACAAAAATATAAGTAAACCCTGAAGTCATTTGCAATTCTTCAGGCTACTTTAGCTTTAAAAATGATAACTGATTGGCATGCTTGCCTAACTATATGCACTGAAGGTTTTTTTTTACAATAAATCTCCTTGAATATGTAAGCCCAAACATAACTTCAGAGCAACAGTCCATTTCCATCTCTCCTCCCCTGCATGTTCCATTCTTCTTACATAGACAACTCTGGCCTTCCCTTTATAAGGCAAAAATACCTATCTGTTTATATCTTCCTGTTTTCTGATGTGTGCAAAGAAATCCATGCGGCTGCCGTCATAAAGTATGTAATACATAATTGAGCAACTTTAGGTCCACCAGCCAGTTCTTTCCTGATTCATCCGTCAAAGTGCAATGCAAGTGCCCCCCCTAAATTGATAAATTCCCACAGTGCCTGTTGACCCAGCTGCCAAGGCCTCATCCAGCAGGTGTTGTTTTTATGACCACCCTGACAGTAATACAAACTGTTTAGCAGTTGCATTGACCTCACAGCTATTAACACTGATACAGACTTCATCTGTATAGCTAGTTTTCAAATATGACAGAATTGCTTAAAGACTCGAGGTCATGAACAAGTATACCATATAAGAATAAATTTGATATGCTGCTGAGCTTTAAAAAAAATCCAAAAGCTGGAAAGCTTCTTTTCCTTACTTCCCACTTCATTCCCTTGCAGTAAATCAAGTAATGAGCACTTGGCAAACTTCCCAGTAAGAAAGCAAATGTACTGAAAAATACCTGAAAGAGGGCTGTATTTATTCTGAGAAAAGTAGATGTTTTTCTATGTTCCACTGGTGATTTCTATACTATAACATACTCCCATTGTTATAATTTGAAGATGAAACATTTTTCTTTTCATCACTAGGATAACTAGGATCATGATCATTGTAATGCAGTTTCTCCTGCTAAGGGACAGATGAAATTAGGTTTAAAGCAGTTTTGTTCTAATAAATGCCCTTCAAATTTGCTGGCATTATATATATTTGTTGCCAGAGATCCAGGGATGTGTAGTTCTAGCATAAGAAATGCATGTAAGGTGTTTTAGCTAAGCCTTCACGCAACAATTATGTGGTCTCCAATATTTTTGGCTCAAGCTTGATTCAGTCTTCCATCCTTCCATCTTCCATCCATCTTCCAGTACAATGAAGACCCAGATTGTTGGGGGCAATATGCTGACTCTGTAAACCGCTTAGAGAAGGCTGTAAAGCTCTATGAAGTGGTATATAAATCTAAGTGCTATTGCTGTTTTGTATTATAATATCCAACTATAAAAGATTCTGTTTAACTCTGGCTACTTTCCATAGAGTTATCTAACATTCCAAATCTAGACTATAAAATTGAGAAGCACATTTGAAACGCATTCATGAACACTAAGACAGATGCTGACTTATGAGCTAATCACATTTTTGTTAGTTTATGGTTCAGTGTATTAAGTGAACACTGAGGACTGAATGAATCAAAGCTCAATTAAAAGCATGCATGAGTAAAATGTGCCATGAACACTTGTGTTCTTATATGAACTTCCTGTATGTGGTTGTCAATATGAATTTGGAATACATCTTCATATGTGTATCATTTTTATAATAATTATTGCTATTACACATCAATATTATACAGTTTGAAAGGACCTCAAGGTGGCTTAACTAATATTCAGGGAACTCCTAATTTTTAACAGTCTTTGTTGACAAAATAAGGTTTTTTTTAGCATTTTTAAAAATAGTTTTGCTGGCTATAGTAGCGATATTTGTTAAATAGCATACTGGATTATCATAATTAAACTCTGAAAATTAAAATACCCATTTCTTGCACTTTCCAAAAATACTGCTACATGATCCATTTTAAACAGCTTTAGTTTTGGAGAACAAAAATGAAGACTGCAAAAATGAAGATATATGTAAATTGTTTACATTTGATCCTGACATTTAAATAGATGCATTGCCTGTATTTTTTTTCCATAGGCCTTTAGATCCAGAAGAATGTAAAAGAACAGCATTTCCTGCCCAGATATTGACATCTGAATGCTCAAGGCATTGCCAAAATGGGCATTGTACTCCCACTGGAAAATGTTGTTGTAATCAAGGCTGGGAAGGTGAATTCTGCCGAACTGGTTGGTATTCTACTCATAGTAATTGCTGAACATAGCAAGCCAATAACAATTTCTGACATTTTAAAATATATATATTTATAATGAATGGTAAGAAAATGTCTAGAAGAAGAGACTAGAAAACCTGATTTATGAATTCAGAATTCATTTAGCAACATTTCTAGATGCCGTGTGACCACAAGGCAATATTATGCTCAAGATTTCACCCTACCAAGATGTTCAAAAGTGACATTCTTAGATAATTCAACCCAGCTTTAAATCGGAAATATCTATACTCAGAAATGCCCCATTGGACTCAACAGGACTCCCCGGGAATATATATAAGTTTGTAGCTTGCGCTTTCCAAATTTTGTGCCTTGCACTTTCCAAACTGGCTGAAATCCTGTGAGCTGCAGTCTTATCTCATCTGGAAGGCACCAGATTACAAATGTTGAAGTATGAGAATACATTAATCAACCTCTGAACAGATATGTATAATATTCATTCACAAGAGTTTCTGTAATCCTCTGTAAAGAACTTAAAGCCCGTATTGAAACAAACTTAAACATTTTGTTTAAATATTTAATTGCCATTTTAAAACTTAGTTTTAGAGTGAATAAATGATCATAACTGGAGTTTCTTGCACATCCAGACATTTTCTGCACAGAAAAAGGAAATTGAATTGTATACGTTGCATGACATCAGATAAGCAGAACGTGTAGAATTAGTTTTAAACATTAAGATATAGCAACAGTGGTGGGATTCAGCCAGTTTGCACCACTTCGGCAGAACTGTTAGCTAATTTTTTTGTTGCCCAGGGCTAGAATGGACTTCCAGAAGCGGCATCCACACAGAGAACCGGTTGTTCACATATTTGAATCCCACCATTGTATAACAATATATTTTCATTGTAACCAAATGGGTTTAGTGTTCGAAGTGTTGTCTGAAATAACGTCATACCACCATTATGATAGTGACATTTTTGCCTCTGCATGTTTTGCTGCAGATACTAACAGAGGATTTTAACATTTAAATTTTTTTACAGCAAAGTGTGATCCAGTCTGTCGACATGGTGGTGTCTGCATACGACCAAATAAATGCTTGTGTAAAAAAGGATACCTTGGTTCTCAATGTGAACAAATGGACAGAAACATCCGAAGAGTGACAAGGGCAGGTATTTTTGATCAAATCATAGACATGACATCTTATTTGCTGGATCTAACCAGCTACATTGTATAGTTTCTGGGACTCTTTAGAGACTACATTTCAATGGGCATTTATTTTTGAATCTTCTCTTTTCTTTTATTTGTAAAGACTGTTTTCCTGCTTTGAAACTCCAGTGATTCCTTTGGATTTGTAAATCTGTCTTTATTTTCAGAAATGTATTCATTCACTTACAAATATCTGATTGCATAATTAGTGGAACATTAACATTACATTTTTCAGGTGGAATAATTTACATGGAAATTCCACTGGAAGCTACAGAAAATATCACCTGATGTCACTATGAATTCTTTGATGTTCTACCAATGTTAAGTCTATAATTATTTTATTATTGCAATCAGAAAGGAGTTCTGAAATTTTGGACATAATTAGAAAAAAAGAAAAAGTACAAAAAATGACAAATGGATTCAGATGATCACTTTTCATCTAATGTTACACGTGACCATTTTTTTCTTCCATTAAAAGCTTTTTTTAATGCTTAAGAAAGCTAATATAGCAAGAGCTACAGGTAGTCCTTGTCTAATGACCATAACTGGGCCCAACAACCTGGTCATTAAGCAAAGCAGTCACTAAGCAAAACCATGACTGCTTCAAAGTTTTCCTTTGCTTTAATGACCTGTGAAGGTCATAAATATGAGGATTGGTTGTAAGTTACCTTTTCTTCACCATTGTAACTGCAAGTGATAGCTAAATGAGGTAATTGTTAAACAAGGACTGTGTTGCAATTGTTCAAATGACTAGAGAAATCAGTTACTTTATGAAAAACATGGCCATATGAATCCACTTTTCCCACTATAGCTCTGTTTCACAACTCCTTCATGCATTCTTATATAGGCAGTTCATTATAAGTTTGTAATCTTCACCTCTATCATTGTAACAGAATGTTATGCACTTAACTGCTTTACCTAACATACATGCAAGTCTGGCTGTCACAGCTTGATTTCCACACTGTGTTAATTTTTTTAACAATTAAATTATATCCATATATTTTAAAAACAATAATTCTAAAAGGTCTGCTTTTTATTGAATATCTTATTTAATAATGGGCACTGGGTTTGTTTTACATATTTATATGATTTTATTTTATTTTTTATAATATAGATATCACCTAGATGAACAGCATTGTAAAATACTAAAGTTATATGTTCCTTCACCTTAATTGGAGAGTACAAGAGCAAGCACATTCTTTTAATGTATTGTGGACTAATATAGACCTATATTATGATGTCATTCTTTGTTTATAATCCACAAAGTAGTAGTACCAACTAATTGGTCATTTTAAATACTGATAAAATACTTGCCACTGTATCAGGACTGGCCCTCTACATATATTATTACAAAATTCACACTAAATAAAACCTTGCCAAATGACAAGTCACTTTAAGTAAAAAAAAAATTGTGTAAGAGAACATGTATAAAAACAGCAAAAAATATTATTGCCAAATATGGTTTAAAATGTAAATGCTTCTTGGAGAATAAACAGAATATTGTTTCATTTTTGTAAATGTATCAATAAACTTGGTGTACATGCTGTATTCATAATTGTTAATGTTTTGATTGATATTTCCTCAGAATTTTAAATGTTATTTCTGTGATACTCGGGACTGGTCAGGGTAGTTCATTCTTGCAGCAGATATGAATTTCTCTTTGTGCTATTGTTTTTACAGAGAAGTCTTCTCACACTGGGAAAAGGAATGAATACGTGTGTTCTTCATACCACAATTCATAAAACACCTGTTCCTATTGCAGTACTATGCAAAGATGTTAAGCAATACATTGCTTGAATATGGCTTTAGTAGACAAGAAGGCCTCTAGGCTGAAATAAAAATATTTCTTACATTTTAATACAACTACAATTTGTATCCAGAGTGCATAAAGTAGACTGTCATTGATCAAATATCTCTGCTTAAGCAAGAGCAGGAAAAAAAATGAGTCTTACTGTCCACCTTGGGTTTCAAGTAGCTTCCTGACAAATGGAAATTGGTACAGAAATCTTGGTTAAGTGCTTAGTGAATAAGGAACTGTATTTAAAAATATGCATAATTAGTATATGAAATAATTATAGAGCTGTGGTGGCACAGTGGTTAGAATGCAGCATTGCAGGCTGATTCTGATCACTGCCAGGCTTAAGGCTGACTCAGCCTTCCATCCTTCTGAGATCAGTAAGATGAAGTCCCAGATTATTGGGGGCAATAGGCTGACTCTGTAAACCACTTAGGGCTGTAAAGCACTATGAAGCAGTTTATAAGTACTACTGCTATTATTACATGCTGTAGACCAACTTATGCTTTATTCAGAGAAGGTTCAGGATTAAATGAGCATGGAAACTAAATTACTCTGTTACCACAGAAGAGCATTTTCTTCCAATCATACACGCAACTTATTGGCTAGATAGTGTGACAGATCTTGTGATGAATTTTACAAGTGCTTGCATCTGTAGTTTGATAGTGACCCCTTATGTCCATTGCTTTTTCTTTTATTGTCTTTTTACTGAATTGCTCCACGAAAAATTTTACCATTAAAAAAAGCACCCCAGGAACTATTTGTGTATATCAGCTTTATTTGTTCAATATGACAGAGGTCCCCAACCTTTTAGGCACTAGGGACCGGCTACGTGGAGGTTTTTCCGCAGACCAGAGGGATGTGTGGTTTTCTCTGCTGTCTGCATCCGCGGATGGGCTTTGCTTGTTTATGTGGCCCAGTTGCTGGCATGCCGCGGCCCAGTACCGGTCCACGGACTGGGGGTTGGGGACCCCTGCAATATGACATTGATAGTACAGAATCTGAACTTCTAGAGAAAAAGGTAACTACCTAATTCTGTCAATGCTGCCAGTTTTTATACATGCACTTTGTAGCTTTGCCAGAATAAAAATAAGAATTTAGAAATTTAAGTAATTGTGTCCTTGTGGAGAAGGACAGTTATTTCTATTTTTACACAATTTCAACCATTTTAAGAAAATAATTTTTGCTCTTACACTACTAAAACAATTAAAGAATGAAGTTTGTTGCAGTAATGAGATACCCAGAAATCATTGCTTGAAGATTAAAATATTGAAGCAAGTAAAAATACAGTAACAATGTCCACCTAGGAACTCAAAAACATAGAATAAGCAGAATCAGTCATTTGCAACTATTGTAAAAAATAATAAATAATGTCTGGTTGCAGTGCTTGTATGGTAATAGTATAATGTCTATTTTGTGACACTGAAATGGTATAACAATTAGTAAAATGTTCAATTAGTAAAATATCTAAGTAGGCATTCCATCTAATGAAAACAGATTTTCGTCTGCTAGGTTCTGGGAATATATAGTTTACTGTACCGTCTCATTCATCTGCAACAACTGGAGATTTGAGTCAAAATGATGAAATGAGTATGATTTGTGACGATCTCTGCCCTTATATGCTTGTATGCAAACTACAACATGCAGAAATAGACAGAATTTATATTGCAACATGATGTATATTTCATAATTTGTCTATTATTTCTGCACATTTTCAAAAAGAAAAGAAAAATCATTACAACATGCATTTTATGTATTTATGACTATTCAGAATAAGAAACTACAGTACTTTGTTTTTACTGAACAGCCTTCTGCATGCAGATCTAATAGGAATTAGAATCAGAATTCTCTATTAACCTTGTTAAAATTGCAACATATCTAGAAACAACAATTTGTGAAAGGATGTTTAGATATTAATAGATCACATATTTCAGTTGTCTAAGCTAATAATGATGGAATGAGGTAGAGGATTTCATAAGAATGGAGATGTGGAATACACATAGAACTAAATTAAATGTTACTTTGGATTATATTCTAGATCTGCCCCTTTCCTTTACTCACTAAAATAGGGTATTGCAATTATCACAGGATAGGTTCCAGTGGTGAATGCTCCAACACTGGAAGTTTTTAAGAAGAGACTGGACAGCTATTTGTCTGAAATGGTATAGGGTTTCCTGCCTGAGCAGGGGGTTGGACTAGATGACCTCCAAGGTCCCTTCCAACTTTTTTTTAATATTATTATTATTATTATTATTATTATTATTATTATTATTATTATTATTATTATTATTATTATTATTACTTTTTAAATTTTATTTTTTTGCACAATGACTGTATTGGGCAGAATGGAAAGATCAGTCTTACACAGGTGAATAGTAGTGGGACGTAGGAGATAATTTTTAAGTTTACAGATATTTAATGATATAAACTATGACATAATAAATTTGCAAAAAAAAAAATTGGCAGCCACATATCATCTCTGGGTCACAGGCTGTCTAGACCCCTAAACTTTCCTGCCTGCCCTATATTTATTATGCAAGTGTAGATTTGGTTACAGCCTTCACTCAAGTTATAAACTTGTAAAAATAATTTACCATTCTTCTGGCAATTTACTAGGCAAGATGCAAAGAGGAGACAGAAAAAAATAGTGGTGGCTCATTCCTTTTTGTTTCTGGCCTAGCCTAGTGACATTGGCAAGTCCCTTTCAACACATTATCCCAGGGAGAACCCATCCAACCAACCAGCCCTCAACAGAAAAAAAATGTTTTCCACTTTTGCTGGTGGTACACAAAAGCAATTGTCCTATACCTCATCACAAATTAGAAAATATCAGTAATTTTAATTTTATTGTTGCTTGAAAAATGGTTACTACCATGTTTTCCCCAAAATAAGACATATCCCAAAAATAAGCCCTAGCTTGATTTTTACGTGTGTGTCTAATATAAGCCCTGCCCCCAAAATAATCCCTACTTGACACCCTGCCCACTCCATCCCACCATCTGGTTGTAGTGCACACGTAAAAATCAAGCTGGAGTAGGGATGGGGGGGTGGAGGTGCCCCACATGCCCTGCACCCGCTTACCTCTGGCCCCCGCAGCCAAGCCTCCAATGCACCAATGCTTGCCTCACACCAGCAGCCCCATCCACTTCTGGTTGTTGGTGGCAACTCGTGGCAGGCCACATGGTACGTCACACCAGTTCCGCCGCTTGTGGCAGGACACATGGCGCATCACGCCAGGGAGGCCTGGCTGAGGTAAGGAGGTAAGACATTCCCCAAAATAAGACTTAGTGCCTCTTTTGGAGGCAAAAAAAAATATAAGGCCGGGTCTTATTTTTGAGGAAACAGGATACTACCTTTGTCGCATGATAAAGAAGGAAACAAGTAACAAAATCCAATTTCTCTCAGTGCTTATATTAAGAGGATTTCTTGGGGGGTTTTTTGATAGAAACTAAGGGGGAGTACATAATAATTTTACATTTGTCAAAATAGTATTATATTAATCTTTTAAGACACTTCTGGTCAGGGACTATAATCAAGAACTAAGAAGAAATCCCAAGATACCTGAGACTTTAGACATCATAATATTCCTTGCTGTGTTTACATTTTAAAAGCTCATTACAGACAGGAGAAAGTGTAGACTCCACACAAAGTGGTGTATCATGTATATGAAGACTAATTTCATGTGACTAATGAAAGAAGTAATCAGATATTCATTTCTCCTGAGATGAATAACAAACAGTGATACTGTAAAATCAATCCAGGTATCAAGTATTAATCCTTATTGAAGAAAACTTGCAATCTTGAAAGCTATGAATACCCAAAATCTAAAGGCAAAAACAGAAGATTTTAATGGCCTTTTATTATTTAAAAAACTACCATCCAAACCAGATCTAGCAGTAATTTCTGACCACACTTTTGTAGAAATCCTTATTCTCTACATAGCACTTTATTATTCAAATGGTCTTATATATGTACATTATAAAATTACAAACCAAAAAATAATGGGACTTTTTTCGACAAAGAAAGGAAGTGTAGCGTGTGAATAATCTTTTGGTGCTCTATTTTAAGAACTCTATATTGTTAATTAATGTCACTTAACATATTACATATTTGTATTTCTTCTACAACTTGTCATGCATTGTTTTCTTGCTTCACAATAAAATATACTTTTTAATCTTTCTAACAATGTTTGCTGTATCACTCACCACTCCTATAAAAAATATATTTGGAAATTTATTTTGAAGGACTGTCATGAAAGAGAAAAATATGTTTCTAATATGTCCTGGATAACTGAGAAAACAAAACAGATATTTTTCAGTGTTTTAATGCCATACAATCTCCCTTATTTCAGACGCTACCATGGTTTATGCATTACAATAAATCACAAATCATAGCTATAATTTGTTGAATACACCAAATATAATAAATCCTAAATAATGTTTTACAATTGCAGTGTCTAGCCTCAAACTATATGCCAATGTAAGAGTAGACATAATTTATTGCAATCTGTTAAGCCAATCATTCTTGTATAAACAGCTGTGGCAGCATTTAAAATTTTGATAATCCTTCAAATTATTAGACAATCCTGTTGATGGGTTCTTATGCACTCTGTAGTAAACTACTATTAATGGAAAGATAATAGTATTAGACAGCCTCAGCTGGCCTGATAAAGCTTGTTGGACTACAATACCCAGAATTTCAACCAATATAGTTTTTATAGTCCATTGTCTCTGAATTGTATTCTGCTTAGG